GCCCAGGAGTTGGAGGATGCTGTGAGCTGTAATGCCACGGCACTCTACCCAGGGGGACAGCTTGAGGCTCTGTCTCAAAAAAAAAAAAAAAAAAAGAGTAAAAAGAAAAGAATAGCTGGTCATTGTGGTAGGTACCTGTAGTCCCAGCTAGTTGGGAGGCTGAGGCAAGAGACTCGCTTAAGCCCAAGAGTTTGAGGATGCTGAAAACTGTGATGGCACGGCACTCTAATGAGGGTAACACAGTGAGAGACTCTGTCTCAAAAACAAGGATCCCACTCTGTCACCCAAGGTTAAATACAGTATAATAATCATACTTCACCGCAGCCTCAAAATCCTTTGTTCAAGCAATCCTCCTGCCTCAGCCTCCCAAGTAGCTAGGACTACAGGTTTGCACCACCACAACTGGCTATTTTATTTATTTATTTATTTATTTTTTGAGACAGAGTCTCATTTTGTTGCCCTTGGTAGAGTACTGTGGCATCATAGCTCATAGCACCCTCAAACTCTTGGGCTCAAGCAAGAGTGTCAAGTCTCAGCCTCCCGAGTAGCTTAGACTACAGACACCCGCCACAACACTTGGCTATTTTTAGAGATGGGGTCTCGCTCTTGCTGAGGCTGGTCTCCAACCCATGAACTCAGGCAATCCACCTGCTTCGACCTCCCAGAGTGCTAGAACTACAGGTGTGAGCTACCACACCCAGCCAGTTTATAATTTTTAGAAGTTTATTTATCTACTTTATTTATTTATTTGTTTTATTTATTTTTTTGAGATAAGAGTCTCAAGCTATTGCCCTGGGTAGAATGTGATGGCATCATAGCTCACAGCAACCTCCAACTCCTGGGCTCAAGTGATCCTCTTGCCTCAATTTTTCTATTTTTAGTCGAGACGGGGGTCTCAAACTTGTGAGCTCAAGCTGTCCACCCACCTTGGCCTCCCAGAGTGCTAGGATTACACAGGTGAGCCACTGCACCTGACCAACAATTTTTAAAAGTTAAAAAATAAATTGGCAGCGCCAGTGGCTCAGTCGGCAAGGGTACTGTCGACTGTCCACCTACCTTGGCCTCCCAAAGTGCTAGGATTACACGGGTGAGCCACTGCACCTGACCAACAATTTTTAAAAGTTAAAAAATAAATCGGCAGCGCCAATGGCTCAGTCGGCAAGGGCACTGGCCACATACACTTAGGGTGGTGGGTTTGAGCCCGGCCTGGATCTGCTAAGCAACAATGACAACTGCAAGCAAAAGATAGCCAGGTATTGTGGCAGGCACCTGTGGTCCCAGCTACTTGGGAGACTAAGGTAAGAGAATCGCTTAAGCCCAAGAGTTTGAGGGTGCTGTGAGCTGTGATGCCCTGGCACTCTACCCAGGGTAACAGCTTGAGACTATGTCTCAAAAAAAAAAAAAATTAAGATAGACATGGATTCCAGCTCTCAGGTAAACTGGTTTAAAAAAAAAAAGAGAGAAAAGATAGACATGGAAAGCAGTTCATGGTATACCATTAAGTGAAAAAAAAAGCAGTGAAGTATGATCCCACGTTTTGGAAACATTTTGTACACAGAAAGGAATCTGAAAGGGCATAAAAATATTAATGCTGATGTCATCCAAGGGGGGTTGGGATTAGAGGCGGTTTTTATTTTTTGTCCTTTATGCTCTATATGAAACTTATGATTTCTCTATAATGAACATAAACAATTCTGTAATTTTATTTTGAAAGCACTAGCTCAAGTGAAACAAAACACCTTATGCCATGATTGCCTTTATAGGATGAATCAATGACTCTTTGATTAAAGTCAAGATCTAAAGTCTCAGATAGTATACTGTATACAAGTTTATACTCAAAGGAAGATGTACTATTGAAATTGACTTACCAACTTTGAGAAAAGTTTTTAGTTCCAAGGGTCGAAGCACTGGCTGTTTTTCTATACGCCCATAGGTTTCTGCTATGCTCTCTACTTCCACTTTAGGGCATTTAAACAGCTCATAAGTCCCATCTCGGTTCTGGATAAAGCTACGAGTGATTTCCAAGGGCATCTGGACACCAAGAAAATACGAAGAAAGGTGAGAACAGGAAATTTTCAAAGTAGATAATACTTGGATGACAATAGATCTTTTATTACTTCTTCCTTCTTGTTAAGCACATTCAAATTAATTATAACTTCCCATTTTTCAAGTAAATTCTGCCTTTTATCCCTTATATCATTTGTGGCTTTCAGTTTTTTCTCTATAAACTTAATTTCAACCCCAGGTGAACTATATATCAATTGAACCTCTTAATATCTTCGTGGCTACATGACTGCTACTGGCAAAAACCTGCCCTAAAATCAGGTTTTTGTTTTGTTTTGTTTTTTGAGACAGAGTCTCACTATGTCGCCCTCAGTAAAGCGCTGTGGCGTCACAGCTCGCAGCAACTTCAAGCTCTTGGGCTTAAGCCAGTGGTTCTTAACCTTCCTAATGCTGCGAACCTTCAATACAGTTCCTCATGTTGTAGTGACCCCCAACCATAAAATAATTTTCATTGCTACTTCATAACTGTAATTTGCTACTGTTATGAATCGTAACGTGTTTTCCAATGGTGTTAGGTGACCCAGGTGAAAGAGTCGTTTGACCACCAAAGGGATCTCGACCCACAGGTTGAGAACCTTGAGTTAAGTGATTCTCTTGCCTCAGCCTCTCAAGTAGCTGGGACCACAGGCGCCTGTCACAATGCCTGGCTATTTTTTTGTTGTAGTTGTTAATTGTTTGGCAGGCCCAGGCCAGGTTCAAACCCGCCCACCACAGTATATGTGGCTGGTGCCCTAGCTGCTGAGCTACAGGTGCCAAGCCCCTAAAATCAGTTTTATTACTTCCCCCTACTGCTTTGCTAGCAGCATTTTTCTCCTGAGTACTCTGGCAAAGCCACCTATAGCTCACCTCACATCCTGTATGCTTCACACGGACCTTGAAACTGAGCCAGACAGAACTTGAACTGAATTCTATGGTGACCCAGAGCCAGTTACCAAACTTTTCAGAGCCTGTTTTCTCATCTGCAAAACGCATTTAACCAGTGCATAGCTGGGAGGTTAAATGAGGTGATGTAGGTAAGTAACACCTAATAGACAGAAACTCAGTGATCCCTGGCACTCTCTTCCCCACTTGCTTTTGCTCTGAGCTGCTTCAGAGCTTCCCTGAGTCCCATCTGTTCTAGGCTGGGAGCTGCCTCTGTAACATCTTGCATTTAAAGGAGTTCCTCAAGTGTCTTTCATTAGTGCCAACATCATCGGCCTTTTCTAGTGTTCACATGTAAATTGTTTGTTGTTACCAAACAACTTGTTTTTTTTCTGAACATAACAATGCTTTACATTAAGCTAATCTTAATATATCAAATCACATCATGCTGAATTTACTATCTCATTACTGTAGGAAAGAAAGATTCCAAATTTTTAGGCTCTGGCGAGTAAAATGTTTAAAAACATCTAATGTTATTCTGGTAAAAGAGAATAATAATTAAGGGTCATTTCTCTAATGAGAATAAAACTGCAGTTTGGATAGAAGGCTTTAGTTGTGCAGGAGCCACTGACTCCACAAATAGTAAATCATCTCAAAAAAATTTTTTTTAATTTAGACAGAGTCTCACTATGTTGCCCTTGGTAGAGTGCTATAGCATCACAGTTCACAGCAACCTCAAACTCTTGGGCTTCAGCGATTCTCTTGCCTCTGCCTCCCAAGTAGCTGGGACTACAGGTGCCCACCAAAACACCTGGCTTCTTTTTTTTTTTTGATACAGGGTTTCACTTTGTCACCCTTGGTAGAGTGCCATGACTCACAGCTCACAGCAACCTCAAACTCCTGGGCTTAAGCAAGTCTCTTACCTCAGCCTCCTAGTAGCTGGGACTACAGGCACCTGCCACAATGCTTGGCTATTTTTTGGTTGCAGTTGTCATTGTCGTTTAGCAGGCTGGGCCCAGCTCAAACCTGCCAGCTTTGCTATATGTGGTTGGCGCCCATAGGGCGCCGAGCCTCATGTTATTTATATACCTTCTAGCTGCCTGCCAGTCAAATCTAAGGCTCATCATAGTTAGTAGGGGGTTATTACCTAATTTGAAAGAAAATCCCCCCTTAAATTGGAGCATATTCCAATTTAAAATATTTTTGAAGCCATATGGAATACCCATCAAAATCAGAGTTGGAACTGTAAAGCCATGGATATTTCTGAATTTTATCTTAACATGAAAAAAAAAAGAACTCCCTTTGCTGTGTGTAACTAAAGAACTGGTACAAACATACTCCCTGTATCTGTATCTGCTTCCCTCTTTTCCCCTCTCCACCCCCCCCCCACTATTTTAGAAATAAACACTTACCTCTGGGGTATCTAAGATTTGTTTAACTTGCAGGATATTAGTGATATGCCAGGTATACTTGGAAAATGTTCCCAGTGGCAAGGCATCTTTCCGAACAAAAGCTTCAATGTAAAAAAGGGACAAAATTAGACTGCTGAAAAACACTTTTTTCATTGTACTTGTTACTCAGTTTCTCAAGAGTTCACTGCACTGCTATTATTTCCTTATAGAATCTCAGCACTGGCTGGGCGAGGTGGCTCATATCTGTAATCCCAGTGCTTGGGAGGCTGAGGTGGGTGGACTGCCTGAGCTCACAGGTTCGAGACCAGCCTAAGCCAGAGGGAGACCTCATGTCCAAAAATAGCCAGGCATGTGGTGGGTGCCTGTAGTCCCAGCTACTTGGGAGGCTGAGGCAAAAGAGTTGCTGAAGCCCAGGAATTTGAGGTTGCTGTGAGCTATGACACCATAGCACTCTACCAAGGGCTACAAAGTGAGACTCTGTCTCAAATAAATAAATAAAATAAAATAGAATCTCAGCACTTAGAAATTCTAGGGGCAGTATATTATATATAATAGGGCTTGGCAGAAATGTGATAAGCCAATTGCTATAGGTATAGATAATTGGTATGTTATCGAAAAAGACCTTGTCATCCAAACATGTGACTCAAAGTCCTAACCCTAAAAATTGACCTGGATTTTTTCTAAACATAATTCTCTAAGGTCAAGAAATCACTCGTCCTGAGGGAAAATCCCATACCTGTGGTAGAGTTGGGAAGCCGTTTTTTTGCACTTCCTATTGATATCCTCTGTTGCAGGGCATCAAAAAAGGATTGAGGAATATGGAACACCAGTGGCTCTGGTTTGCCTGTGGGAAATAAGAAGAAACACATTTAAAGAAACTCTGTGGACTTCCTCACATGCATGTAGAGATGGAACAAAAGGAATTGCAGGGTAGTAATAATTACACATACCACTCAAGTTTCTTTATATGGAAACAAAAAAAAGCTTTGACTTTTCTGAGCTAAGCACTGTCATCAGCTCTACTCCTGATCCCTCGCATTCATAAAAACCTACATTGGATTCTTGTCATCACACAAGGATAACTTTTCAAATCTCAATTTTATTTTTTCTTTTGAGACAGAATCTCACTCAGTCACTCTGGGGTTGAGTGCCGTGGTGTTAAGTGCTCACAGCAACCTCAAACTCCTGGGCTCAAATGATCTTCTTGCCTCAGCCTCCCCAGTAGCTGGGACTACAGGCTCCCACCACAACACTGTTATTCTTAGAGACAAGGTCTCACTCTTGCTAAGGCTGGTCTTGAACTCGTGAGCTGAAGCAGTCCACCCGCCTCAGCCTCCCAGAGTGTCAGGATTACAGGCATGAGCCACAGCACCTGGCCAAATCCCAATTTTGTAAACACCACCATAGCACAGACTTTTTCCCTAAAATAAGATGGGATTCGAGCAAAGAGGCCAGCAGAGAAACAGCTTGCCGGCTGCCTCACATTCCAATCTAGGCATCCTGATAAGGATGGGCAGCACCAGGAGTGCTGAGGGACTGCAAAGTTAGGATACTACTCATCCAGCGAGCACTCATCCAGTGAGCATCACCATTTTCTTTCTTTCTTTTGAGACAGAGTCTCACTTTGTCCCGCTTGGTAGAGTGCCATGGTAGAGTGTCATAGCTCACAGCAACTTCAAACTCCTGGGCTCAAGCAATCCTCTTGCCTCATCCTCCCAAGTAGCTTGGGACTACAGGCACCACAACACCTGGCTATTTTTAGAGATGAGGTCTTGTTCTGGCTCAGGCTGGTCTCAAACCTGTGAGCTCAAGCAATCTATCTGCCTTGGCTTCCCAAAGGACTAGAATTAAAAGGCTAGGAGCAAGCCACCATGCTCTACCTGAGCATCAGCCTTTTCCTCTAAATACCATTTCAAGACAGGTAAAATATTTTGAAGTATTAAAACTTCACAAATATCTTAAAGAAATGTGTACAACATTAAGCCAACAAAAAGTCAACAGAAAATAGCCAGGCATTGTGGTGGGCACCTGTAGTCCCAGCTACTTGGGAAGCTGAGGCAAGAGAATCGTGTAAGCCCAAGAGTTTAAGGTTGCTGTGAGCTGTGATACCACAGCTCTTTACCGAGGGTGACACAGTGAGACTCTGTCTCAAAAAAAAAAAAAAAAGTCAACAGAACAACAGTTCATGGTCCTTGTTTGTATGGTGGTTAGTGAAAAGAAAAGAAAAAGAGTTCATGGGAGGGGTCGAGTCCTTAAAATTTTTTCCCCTGGGGCTAGTCTCTGCAAAGAGAAAAACACTCAGAACCACATAGATAAGCACCTAATTTCCACCTGCCTGGATACAACTGGAAGAAGTCTCTTAAGAAATTCTCTCTTGGCTCGGCACCTATGGCTCAAGTGGCTAAGGCGCCAGCCACATACACCTAAGGTGGCGGGTTCAAATCCAGCCCAGGACTGCCAAAACAACCCAGCTGCAACCAAAAAATAGCCGGGCGTTGTGGTGGGCGCCTGTGGTCCCAGCTACTTGGGAGGCGGAAGCAGGAGACTCGCTTGAGCCCAGGAGTTGGAGGTTGCTGTGAGCTGTGATGCCATAGCCGGCACTCTACCCAGGGGGACAGCTTGAGGCCCTGTCTCAAAAAAAAAAAAGAGAGAAAAAAAGAAATTCTCTCTTTTTTTTTAATAGGGACAGGTGTCTCACTGTATCACTCAGGCTGGTTTTGAACTCTTGGCCTCAAGCAATACTCCTGACTCAGCTTCCCCAGTAACTATGACATGAGGAGCGAGCCATTACACTCAGCTAAGAAAGACTCTAAAATAAGACAGTCCAGATATCTTTTGAAAACAAAGATTAAGCAAAGAAAAATAAAAATGAAAGGTTTTCTAGAATTCTATAAAAAGACTTTATGTTCTTCCCATTGATTTAGCTTACTTTATTGAATGCAGAATGTCAATGACAAAACTTACTGCTTTTGAGCCACTAAAATATTAATATCTGGGTACATCAGAGAAGTCACCACATATAATTTTAAGATTGTTCATCTTGAAATTACATTACAGGCTCGGCGCCTGTGGCTCAAGCGGCTAAGGCGCCAGCCACATACACATAAGGTGGCGGGTTTGAATCCAGCCCGGGCCCGCCAAAACAACAATAATGGCTGCAACCAAAAAATAGCCGGGTGTTGTGGTAGGCGCCTGTGGTCCCAGCTGAGGCAGGAGACTCACTTGAGCCCAGGAGTTGGAGGTTGCTGTGAGCAGTAATGCCATAGCACTCTACCCAGGGGGACAGCTTGAGGCTCTGTCTCAAAAAAAAAAAAAAGAAATTACATTACAGTCTACATTACAAGGATCATTACAGTTTTCTTTTTCTTTTTTTGGTGCAGTTTGGCCAGAGCCAGGTTTGAACCTGCCACCCTTGGGATATGAGGCCGGCATCCAACCCACTGAGCCACAGGTGTGGCCCTATCATAGTTTTCAAAGAAGTGCTAATTCACTGTGTGATGTCAGAGCTTAGGTTTAAGAATTAATCTTTTTTTTTTTTTTTGGAGATTGAGTCTCACTTTGTTGCCCTTGGTAGAGTGCCCTGGCGTCATAGCTCACAGCATCCTCAAACTCTTGGGCTCAAGCAATTCTCTTGCCTCAGCCTTCTGAGTAGCTGGGACTACAGGTACCCTCCACAATGCCTAGCGATTTTGTTTTTTAGAGATGGGGTCTTGCTCTTGCTCAAGCTGGTCTCTAACCTTGAATCCAAGCAATCCACCTGCCTCAGCCTCCCAGAGTGCTAGGATTATAGGCATGAGGAACCAAGCCTAGCAAAAATTAGTCTTAAAAAGCCCTCATAGGTGGCTCTGCACCTGTAGTTCAGCGGCTAGGGCATCAGCCACATACACCCGAGCTGGCAGGTTCAAACCCAGCCCAGGCCTGCCAAACAATGACAACGACAACAACAACAAAAATAGCTGGGTGTTGTGTTGGGTGCCTGTAGTCCCAGCTAGTTGGTAGGCTGAGGCAAGAGAATTGCTTAAGCCTAAGAGTTTGAGGTTGCTGTGAGCTGTGATGCCACAGCACTCTACCAAAGCTGATACAGTAAAACTCTGTCTCAAAAAAAAAAAAAAAAACCCTTATAATAGCCAGTGTGGTGGCTCACACCTAGCACT